ACACACACACAAAGCAGGAGGAAATCATGGGAAAGGCCTTTATTGTGGTTTCCATGGTAAGGAATGGGCAAGGCAGGTCACGCAGGCTTAGGATAGGCTAGTTTGATCTCAGCAGGCTCTGGGGTGTAGAAGCTGTCCCAAGTTGTCTGCTGCATTGGTCCTGGGGTGATTAGGGCAGAGGAATATTGGCCCGGAGTGTAAGAACCAGTTAGAGAAGGTGGGGGTTTGTGTGTCCGGATTAGTTGGTTTGCTTATGAAAGGCACAGTCCTGGGAGAGTTATTTGCGATCTCAAGAACTTAGCTAACCCTGGGAGAGGTAGTTCTTTAGTGAGGTCTCAAATGACAAAGCATTGAGAACTCAGAAAACAAGAAAATACAGTCAATATAGGTATCGGGATGGCCATCTCACAGTGATTATGTGGTCATCAGAGATGATTCAGTGGGGGTCGAAAATAGATGTTGAAGAGATTGGAAGGGGGTCTTAAGGGTCGTTACTATTTAGAGAAACAATAAATAAAAGGTAACAAACATTTCTTTTTTTTTTTTTTTGAGATGGAGTCTTGCTCTGTTGCCTAGGCTGCGGTGCAGTGGCACGATCTCAGATCACTGCAACCTCTGCCTCCCAGATTCAAGAGAGTCTCCTGCCTCAGCCTCCTGAGTAGCTGGGATTATAGGCATGTGCCACCACATCCAGCTAAGTTTGGTATTTTTAGTAGAGACACAGTTTCACCATGTTGGCCAGACTGGTATCGAACTCCTGGTCTCAGGTGATATGCCCGTCTCAGCCTCCTAAAGTGTTGGGATTATAGGTGTGAGCCACTGCGCCTGACCCATTGTTTCTTGCCTTTGGCTATGACTGTGATGTCTGGAGTTGTGACAACCATCTTGCGGCCATGAGGCAATAAACATAAAAATGTAAGGCCAATATGCTAAGGAAGGCAGGGCAGAAGGAGAGAAAGAACCTGAGCTGGTTGGGTGCTGTGGTTCACGCCTGTAATCCCAAATACTCAGGAAGCTGAGGTGAGAGGACTGCCTGGGGCTGCGAGTTCAAGACCGGTCTGGGTAACATGGCAATACCCTATCTCTAAGAAATTAAGAAAGCTTAGCCAGGAGGATCTCTGGGGCCCAGGCTACAGTGAGCCATGATGAAATCATGCCACTGTACTCTAGCCTGGTGTCAAAAACAAACAAACAAACAAACAACAACAACAACAGAAAACAGAAAGAAAAAAAGGAAAAATAAAGAAATGAAAGAACCTGCGTCCTGGATGTCATCTTGAAGTTAGAGTTAATTCTGAGACCACAAAGGTACAATCAAGGTTAAGGGAAATTAACAGAGGGGAATGAAGCACCCTGAGGCTAGATACAGTAAGTTAGACCATCGCACACTGTGGGCCCTGCCTGAAGGGACAAGGCGGGGAGTGGGTCCCAGAACCCAGTGAGAGCTGGGCTCTAGAGCAGGTGAAGCGTGAAGCCACTGCCACCCTGCAGCCCCACAGGGAGGGAGCCAGGGGAATGCAGCCTTGAGCTCTTTCTCAGCCCACCCTGCAGAGTCCAGCCAGTGCCTCCCATTGGCTAAACCCTGCCAGAGGCAAAAGACCAGGGAGTCAGGAGAGGAAAGCAGGACAAGTCAGCATAAAGATAGGGGTGGGGCCGGGCGCGGTGGCTCATGCCTGTAATCTCACCACTTTGGGAAGCTGAGGGGGG